TTTTATCGCCTTAGCTAGTTAGCAGCTCTGCGTGATAAGTTGGGGCGACTGGCGGTGGGGGGTGGGCGGGTGACTTGCGTTAATTTTGGGGGGGGATGTGCCGCTGGCCTCTCTGAGCCCCTAATCCATTATAGTCTATTTTATGGCCAATTGCAGACCCAATCTTAGTCACTTCTGGGCAAATACGTAATTTTCGCGAGCCTAACTTAGTCACTTTCTATTTATTTATCTACCTTATCGATCCCTTAAATAGGCCATCCTAAAATGAACTGACCCACTTTTTAATAAATTGAATGAAAACGGAACACTTTACTTTTCACCTACAGTACAAATATTCTGGTACGTATGCTAACAGTAAAGATGAAGAACTTTCTTACCCCAAAAATCCGAAAATGTGTGACCCCATTCTAGAAACTCTATTGAAAATGCGACCCAATTATAGTCGATCCAGTCGTGAAAATGCGACACCATCCAGCGACACATCCCCATTAGCCTCTTACAAGGAAGTGCCCTCCCCCCGGGACTGAGATGGCCAAGAGACATCATGCAAACGCCAGACAAAGTGCATTCATTCATTCATTCGTTTTATCAACATCTCCACTGAGTCTGAGTCCCATGGGATTTCTCTTCCTCTGTGCGCGATTCTTTCGGGGTGCCTAGTTTCTTTTTACAAATAAAGAGTGGCTGTTGAGGAAATTTGCTGATTGCATCCTTGTGTAATATCAAAGCAATCGCCTATATGTAGACATAAAATTGGCCCTGTATGATATGTTTTTAAATGACAGGAAGACACTTGAGTTTTTTTTCGTTATCCTTGCAATGTAAGCGCATTCCAAACCTCGATTACGTCTAGGAAGCAGTTTAAGCTCCTCACGATTTAATAGAATGGCGAGATAAAATTTCTGCACGTTCTAAATCACGAAATGCAAAAAAAAGAATAGAGAAATAAAATAAAATAAACAAGGGCCGGTTCCTCAAACATGTTAGCATTGCTGCATTACCATTTCGTCAGGTAAAAGGAGAACTGTATCGAGCAGGACGGTATATTTTACGCCTTAGTCAGTTTGTGGCTGAAGAAGAGATCAGTATATTGACCGCAGTCTGGAAGTCGAAAGACCCACAATTTGTTTCAAATCCCAAATCCACAAGTATTTTTTGTGAAAATCTGAATCAGTAAGGCATTTTAATAGTAATTTCTTTTCTTGCAATACTGTTTAACACATGGGCACTATATTAAACTGTCAAAAATTGAGCAGGTATCCCAGGAATGCCTCCAGTAGCAAAAATAGTTTAGTTTCCCTAACAAGGTCACAAGTCACAGACTTTGACGCAACAGGTTTACAGTAATTCACTCCCGCATGGCATCACACTCTCATGGTTTAAAGACCCAAGTCATATTCGATTGCGCTCACATGTACGAGAAACTTGTCAATCAAAATCTCAGCTACGTATACACTCGGGCCCAGTCTCCGACAGGTATGAGGTTCGCTTATATAGGCTATATCTGTATGAGTTAATGTAGGCTATTTCAGGCATTCAGATAGTGGAACACGAAAGAAAAAGAGAGCGAGCGAAAGAAAAATCAGAGGTTAGGTCAGTATTAGGGTTTTTTTGCTTCTGTTTTTTTCAAACAGGTCAAAAAATTGCATTTCAATATGGCGGTCTTTTTTTTGTTTTGGTTTAGAGTCTTTGTAAATGAATTTAATAACTATTTTGTACAGAATGTTAATTATATTACGAGTAACGTTGCGGCTCTAAAATTCTTTACGAAATGAATGGCAACTGACTTGTATCATTTACATTTTTCTCTCATATTTATCTACCTATGCCTTTTAGAAACGTTAGTTTTCTGGACAAAATGTTACCATTGCAACCCCTTACTTCAAGGCTTTTCTCTCTCTCCAAGAGGTTTACCAATCCCTCTCTACCCCACAGAGGATCAGCGGAACCTCGCCCACACCTCCCTCTCCCTAGGGACAAAGTTGTCCTTGCCGAGGCACCTTCCGCGGGGATGTTCTTTAGCCCCTGCCCAGGACGCCCCTACCGTGTTATAAGCCCCCTTTTGTAAAGAAAACAAACAGAGGCGCATGAGAGTGTCCTTTCATGGCCAGCTGGTATAGATTATACCATTTCAAAAAACAAGGTGTGAGACATATATCTGTATTCTGTTCTATTGTTACTTTGAAAATCTTAAGACTAAGTTATTTCTCCCCATGGGAGATTACTTGTGGCAAATATTGTCCTGTAATGGAATTACGTTTTACCGATATATAATTTTCATGTTTAAAGTTACGAAATGTTGTAAAACACCTCTCTGTTAAAAAAAAAGCAGTAAATCTCGCAGTTGAATCATCATTTACCATTAAACTAGGACAAAGAAGGTCAGGTGAGCTCCGAGGTTCCTCCACAACTCAACAAAGTCTTCGTGAGCTCGGAGTTTTCTCCGATGTAAGGACGACAAAGTCTCGTAAGCTCCGAGGTTTCTCTGGCGTGGGAGATGCAGACATACTACTTAGAAAGTGAGACGGCTAGTGATTCGCCGAATACCACTCGATAAATCTTCGAATCCCCCAACTAATAACGAGGAAGTGAAGTGACGCTCAGAAAAATCAGTACAGCCTGAATGTATTGAATGTATCCGAAACACTCAGGCCACATTTCGAAAAGAAGCGAAGATTTCCGATTTATTTAGACGCCCCCTCAGTGCACCACTCAATAACTCGAGAGTTCAGTAAATCCTCGGTTAACCGAGGATATGCTGATGTGCCTGTAAACTGAATCCTTAAAAATGAAGGTCTAATCCACAATTGGTGATCATGAATAATTTGCTTATTGTGGGTTTGCATACCGATTGATCGATTCGCGGAAAATTGAACGCATCTCATAGTAGCCGCGAGAGTCACTGGAACTTTTATGACATTCACGTTGTTTCCAGTTAAATATTTAAGGGTATATTTTCCTTTTTACTGATTGGCCCATCGCTATTTGTTCACTCATAATTNGTCTTCGTGAGCTCGGAGTTTTCTCCGATGTAAGGACGACAAAGTCTCGTAAGCTCCGAGGTTTCTCTGGCGTGGGAGATGCAGACATACTACTTAGAAAGTGAGACGGCTAGTGATTCGCCGAATACCACTCGATAAATCTTCGAATCCCCCAACTAATAACGAGGAAGTGAAGTGACGCTCAGAAAAATCAGTACAGCCTGAATGTATTGAATGTATCCGAAACACTCAGGCCACATTTCGAAAAGAAGCGAAGATTTCCGATTTATTTAGACGCCCCCTCAGTGCACCACTCAATAACTCGAGAGTTCAGTAAATCCTCGGTTAACCGAGGATATGCTGATGTGCCTGTAAACTGAATCCTTAAAAATGAAGGTCTAATCCACAATTGGTGATCATGAATAATTTGCTTATTGTGGGTTTGCAT